TGTGTGTGTGTGTGTGTGTGTGTGTGTGTGAGTGAGTAGGACAGCTTGATGAAGTTCAGAGATAATCTGACCCATTCTGAAGTATTTCTAAGTTTTATAATGATTCCCATCATCAGAGCAGAAGTTTGACAGGAAATGAGAAGAAACTGTTTCACCATGTTTTCCTAACAGTTTGTCGTTGCTCAACTCTCCTCCCTCTCCTCCTGTGTGACACAACAGCTTTAAATAAGCCAGGACAGGTAGACAGGTAGACGACAGGTAGACAGCCATCCAGAGCAGAGCAGGTGAGGGAGGCTGAAGCAGCGTGCTCTCTGTCTGCAGCTTGACTTTTATTGCAATTCTTCAAACAACTACAAGAAAGAAAACACACAGTTGTAAGTAAAAACTCACATTTCTTATATTTCTTTGTAAAAAGTTGAACATTTACAGTTTTTTGTGTTTTGTGTATATAATAAAGGTTAAATAAATAAATATAATAAATATAAAGCATGTTAGTAATCAGTTGGTGTAAAAATAGATTTAGTGATGAATGCATTAAAATCTTTCGTTTTTTTAAGTACTAAATTTTTGACACATTATTACAAAGGTTATTAATCTCTGATAATTTGTTCTTTATGTCACGTATTTAAATGTGAAGTAAAATCACAGGAAGGTAAACAAATGATAATAAACAGGCAAACGACCAGGATGCAAATGTCTTGGACAGAAAATGACCCCACAAACAGGGTTCAGTCAAAAAAAAAAGAAAAAAGAAATTCAAACCTGGCAGGAAGTGAAGAAAATGACGTTGCACATTACCACATTTGTTTTTCGGTGCACATTGTCCTCAGAAGTCCTGGAAGTGTCCCTCAGGGTGAGAAAGTCAGGTTACCAGGGAGTGATTCAGCCTCTGAGGAGGAAGTTTCTCTCAGAACTTACAGGTTCCCTGCATGGACACAGGCTCCATGACAACCAGGCCTCTTCAGCATCATCTCACTAAAACTCAGATATTATTGTTTCACCAAGTGATGAAGCTAAACGTGTTGTGATCTTCTCCACAGGGACGTCTCCATGTCTCCACAGGGAGGACCGTGTTTCTTGATGCTCACTGTGTTCTGCACAGTCCTGGGTTGGTAACAACGTTTTAAAGCATCGACGTGTCGTTCAGCTTCTTCACTTCTTAAAGCTTTTTATGATGTTTACAGCTGCTGTGTGTCCAGCTGTGCCTCCAGATGTTCTGTCTGCAGACGACGCTTCCTTCATCGCCAAGAAACTGGTAGGAGATGTTCCCAAACGTTTGCTTTAAAAGAACTGTAATTTATTTATGTAACACATTAAAGCTGACCAAAGTGTTTTACAGTTCAGTCCAGACTTTTATCAAAAACAAAACAAATAGATACAAATACAGAAACACACTATAATATATGAAAAGCTCTGATTCTGTGTGGCCCCTGATAATTATAATAATGTGTTTACAAATCTGTCCTCCTGGCACAGAGGATTGATGTAGACTTTATTTATTATTTGGGCAAATTTATCATAAAGTGAAATGTTGGAAACAATATTAATTATTTGCCTTTATTTTTAATTTTAATTATTATTATTAAAATAGTAATTAATATAATATAATAAGACCC